AACAGACATGACATACACATCTCCTGGTGAACAGGTAAGTCTTTTGACAATGCCCTTTGCCTTAGCTTTAGATATGCCTGTTGACAGAGAACTTGACCTTTGACCTGCTTTCACGTTTCTGAGCTCTGGCGAGATACCTTTTCACAATGCTTTACTTTTTCAAGGCCCGTGCTGCTTTATTTTTACAAGGCCTGAGGCCTATATCGGGTAAAGGCCCTTTTAGTACGCTGTATTCGGGTGAACACGGTAGTTCCATTTGGATTCAAACTCAGGTCTGAATTTCAAATTTTCAACACTTCATGGGTGTGTACCAACTGAGCTCCGCCCGTTGGTTCATGCATTCATCTTTAACCTTCTTTTAGATATCTGATATCATCATTAAAGTTGATTAAACTGACCGGCCCCAGGCAATTCAGAGAATTTCAGACTGATTTTATTTTCTCTTCATCTGAAGGTATCTGGGTTCGAACTCGAGTCTGATGCATATTTCAAAAACAGTTCAGGGGGGGTGTACCAACTGAGCTAGACCAGTTGGTCATCTCTAACTCTACCCTCAACTTTTGTTTCCTTTACGTTGTTGGAAAGCCCTGTGATGAAACCATTCGCTGCCAACAATATGGGATCGGTTTCTGAATGTCTTTTGCTGAGAGTTAAACTGACAAAGATGATGTACGGGGTCAGCAAGTTGGTAGTTATTCATTCAGAAACTACTGGCAATTCAGCCATATGTGTGGGAGGCACAATGTGGATCGTGTCTGTGCGTCTTTTCTTCTTCGTCGTTGTCTTTTTTTTTTTTTTTTTTTTTGTGCGCCTTTTCAACAAGATATATCTGGGCACTTGTGCCTCTTTCAGGTACATAGCATCAGAAGATCGAACGAGGAATGTGTACTACCTGGGACCAGCTCCACTGCATGATATTGCAAAGTAAGTATGGTGAAGTCACAAGCTTCTGTATGTCTATGCTTTGTGTGATCATACAACTTATAGATGTCACTGTGTCTGTAGCAGGGAAATATCTATATCTATAAGACTATATCTTGAAAATGAAAAAGGCAGGAATTATGTATCTATAGATTCTATACAGCTCAATGGAAGTATTGGAGGATCAACAGATAATAGTGCATGAAAACTACCAGCTAGGCAGAGCTGCAATGCGGGTGCTGGCGGCCACTTGACTGATAGGCGCCAACCAGCCCACCTACTGACCTGTCAGCATCACCCACAAGATTGCCCACCTGTAGCCTTCCGCAAGGCCGGTACGGTTGGGTTTCTGCATGTGTGTGTGTGTGTGTGTGTGTGTGTGTGTGTGTGTGTGTGTGTGTGTGTGTGTGTGTGTGTAAGAGTGTGTGCAAAAGCACAGCGAATGACGCTTCAGTATACGTGACGTGTACTCCGTGCTCATCAGGGATGCAGTCCAAGGACCCAACAACAGTACACAATTCTCTCTTATCGGTTTCCTTGTAAACGCTTTCGATAAGCCATAGACTCAGTGGAAAGACAAACAACACACAGCAAGGCAAACAGCACGAGGCAGCAAGGCACATAGGCTGGAGGGCACGGGGAGGCGGGTGGCCAGGCGAACAGCACAAGGCAACAAAGCGCACCGGGTGAAAGGCATGGGGTAGGCAGATGGGCAGGCAAACAGCATAAGGCAGTAAGGGAATGACAACAGGTCAAATAACGACAAGGCAAGAGCAGCAACCGAAAATAAAATACTAGTATAAAAAAAACAAAGACTGAAGAAAATAAAAACTGATGATAGATTGTTTCGTCGGTGTTGCACCGACTCATCAGGAGGCTGAACCCTCGACAATCTGCAGAATCTCCGTATTTGATGGTTTGGGTCGTGAACCCTTTGACCCTTGTTGAAGGCAGAATGTCCCCAAACGGAACATAGCGGCGGGTAGCAACCCTGCGGAGCACCAGGCAACGCAGTAGAGGCAACACGGCTGCACAATGGCAAAAGAAACAACACAGCAGCGGAAGACAGATGAACAGCACAGCAACTGTGCAGTGAAGCACGAGGCAACACAAGCAAGGCAACCATACTCTGCAAGGGACGACAGGGCGAGCGGACCAGCAGATCGACAACCGTGCAGTGAAGCACGAGGCAACAGCAACAAGGCAACTATCCTACAAGGCCCACAAGCAGCAACCACGGAAGGCACGACCAGCGAATGGGCAGCAAGGCAGCGGAGCAGCGAAGCGCAAAGCAACACCACAACACGGCCACCCCACACAGCAAACACATCAACCTGCAGAGAACCAGATGCGAAGCAAGCGGGAGAGGCAGCAGGGCAGCGGCGGAGCGCAAATGAGGCCGTCCACACATCCAACACGGAGCAAAGCGGCACATGACCTACTCACATCACGATTGAACCCCGCAGACTTGGTTCTCACCACCCACTGAGCCAGGGAGATACTCTGACGACCATCCGTCATCACCCACAGGCAACACAGACATCCCGAACCGAGCGGCCCCCCTAAGAGTGCAGTAGGCACTCCGAACATGGAATTACCGACTGTTTGGCACTACTTGAGGGTGCTCAGTTGGGTAAGCAAAAATACTTGGAGAAAATCGGAGGGGGGACAGACAACAAGAGGAAAACAGACAGACAGAAGAACTGATTTTGTGTGTGTGTGTGTGTGTGTGTGTGTGTATGTGTGGGGGAGAGAGAGAGAGAGAGAGAGAGAGAGAGAGAGAGAGAGAGAGAGAGAGAGAGAGAGAGAGAGAGAGAGAGAGAGAGAGAGAGAGA